TTTTAGAATTGAAATAAATTACAATTAATCGTAACGATAAACAAACAAAAGTCGTGAAGTTCGCGTAGCTAACAAGGGTTTTAGCCTATAAATTCGAAATTTTTAGCAGAAATTGCGCATTGGAAGGTGAACGAATGCGAAAAAGGGAAAATCGAATTTTTTTAAAAATAAATAAAAAGATTGGAAACCTTTGTACAATCAATGTATTGATTAAATAGTTATCTACGTACAGAAATGTTTTTTTAATAAAAATTCTAACGTATCCATATTCTCCTATCTACACATCGTCTCTTAATCCATCTTTTATTTCTAATTTATATTAATGAACATACTCCTGTAGTTTTGAACTTCATGCCACGGTTTATTATACCAACATTACTTTTTACTTTATAATTTTGAAATTATATATCGTTACCAATGTAAAAGAGAAAAATATTTTTTCATGACTTTAAAATTTTATTGATTAAAAAATTTGAATCAAATCACTAACGAAATATGCATGTATGTGTCGAACGCCTCAAAACTAGAACTAATACTACCATTATTACTAGAACTAGAAACTTTCGGGTTTAACCGTGCGAATGATGTGTCTACTTCTAGTAATAATGCTAATGTTAATTCTAGTTTAGTTCTACAAAATGTATCGATATTCTTGAATCTTTCATATTTTTTCGCAGAACATTTACCGACTGTTTACGGAACATCAGTGTTCCATCGAATACAGTTGGGAAAACACTGATTAAAAAATAAATATAAAAAAAATTCATTGTCGTATTTCAAGAGAACTTTCATAAGTAACATCCTCAGAAGATATCTCGTCAGTATGGAAAATAATTAAATGGTAATTGATAAAATTCGGTCGATTTTGTTGTGTATTTTAACTGTGATCGTAATTTCTGTGACGTTTATTATACAAGAAATTTTAATCTGCTAACATATGCAAATTTTATCAAGATTTTATCAATTACCATTTAATTATTTTCCATACTGACGAGATATCTTCTGAGGATGGCTCTTTAATGTGAGCCGAAACCGGTAAACATAGAATAAATAATATTATCACTAAGTACAATTGTTTCTATTTATTTAAATATTAATAAGTGATAAAAATGGATAACATTTACTCATTTCATAAGTAAGTTATACAATCTGAAATAATGAATATTAGTGATGGAATGGATAATGATTTTGCGACAAGCCGGATATTCGGTTATCCGGCTTCTGGAACGTAATTTCTGGTACATTTTAGAAGTGATACCCAAGAACTGGATTTTAAACGAATTTTTAAAACTTAATCGGCAAAAATTGCAAAATTCGAAAAAATTGTCGATCATTTAAAAAATTTATTTCTGAAGACCTAAAAGTGATTTTTCAAAACGGCTTTTTGCATTAAAAAAGGGTACTTTAATTAATAATTGGTGATATTTCCACAAGGATCCTTCAAGAAATTAATTTTATAGCGAATTTTGCAAGTTATCGATGAAAATTGCAACACTGAAAATTTTATCAAAGCTTCAAATATTGCTTTCTCAAAAACTAAAAGTTATTTTTCAAAACGGGTTGGTTCATTGGAAAGAGGACACTTTTATTAACGCTTTGGGAAATTTTTCATACTCATATTCCAAGAACTGGATTTTATACGAATTTTTTAAACTTAATCAGCGAAAATTGCAAAATTCGAAAAAATTCTCGATCATTTCAAAAATTTATTTCTTAAGAACTGAAAGTGACTTTTCAAAACGGCTTTTTGCATTAAAAGAGGATACTTCAATTAATAATTGGTGATATTTCCACAAGGATCCTTCAAGAAATTAATTTTATAGCGAATTTTGCAAGTTATCGGTGAAAATTGCAACATCGAAAATTTTATAAAAGCTTCAAATATTGTTTTCTCAAAAACTAAAAGTTATATTTCAAAACGGGTTAGTTCATTGGAAAGAGGACACTTTTATTAACGCTTTGGAAAATTTTTCATACTCATATTCCAAGAACTGGATTATATACGAATTTTTTAAACTTAATCGGCGAAAATTGCAAAATTCGAAAAAATTCTCGATCTTTTTAAAAATTTATTTCTCAAGAACTGAAAGTGACTTTTCAAAACGGCTTTTTGCATTAAAAGAGAATACGTTAATTAATAATTGGTGATATTTCTACAAGGATCCTTCAAGAAATTAATTTTATAGCGAATTTTGCAAGTTATCGATGAAAATTGCAACATCGAAAATTTTATCAAAGCTTCAAATATTGTTTTCTCAAAAACTAAATGTTATTTTTCAAAACGATTTGGTTCATTGGAAAGAGGACACTTTTATTAACGCTTTGGGAAATTTTTAATACTCATATTCCAAGAACTGGATCATATACGAATTTTTTAAACTTAATCGGCGAAAATTGCAAAATTCGAAAAAATTCTCGATCATTTCAAAAATTTATTTCTCAAGAACTAAAAGTGACTTTTCAAAACGGCTTTTTGCATTAAAAAGAGGATACTTTAATTAATAATTGGTGATATTTCCACAAGGATCCTTCAAGAAATTAATTTTATAGCGAATTTTGAAAATTATCGATGAAAATTGCAACATCGAAAATTTTATCAAAACTTCAAATATTGTTTTCTCAAAAACTAAAAGTTATTTTTCAAAACGGGTTGGTTCATTGGAAAGAGGACACTTTTATTAACGCTTTGGGAAATTTTTCATACACATATTCCAAGAACTGGATTTTATACGAATTTTTTAAACTTAATCGGCGAAAATTGCAAAATTCGAAAAAATTCTCGATCATTTCAAAAATTTATTTGTCAAGAACTAAAAGTGACTTTTCAAAACGGCTTTTTGCATTAAAAAGAGGATAGTTTAATTAATAACCGAAGGTGATAACAGCTACAGTTCTGTTAGTAATAAATGTGCTGATGAATTACAAGCGAAGAGAACACTGCAACAAGAGATTTTATATATCATATTGGGATTGTTACAATGAAGTTGCTAATGACAAACCTAACATAAATAAAGTTGTATGCAATGAAAAAAGTCCTATTGGGGTTGAACTTGATTATTATCTGCAGTGTCCAACACCTAAAAGAGATACTAATTCCTGTAAATGGTGGAGTACTAAGTAATAGGTTTTTAATATCCGGCCAAAGCTGGATATTTGGTAACTATCCGGTATCCGGCCGGATTTTAAAAGTGATAGTGATAGTTAGCATCAAATATCACTATGTTGCATATTTTTTGCCGTTTTGAGAAACGCACGGCTAAACCCATCCACTGGTCAAAAAATAAATATAAAAAAAATTCATTGTTGTATTTCAAGAGAATTTTCATAAGTAAGCTAAGCGAAATAATGAATATGTATTCTTCAACTACTGAAACTGTGGAAACCCTTTTTTAATAGTTTTTTTTGATAAGAGTGAACTTTCCTGTTTTCGTAAAAGTAAAAAAAAGTGTTTCGCATATAAATTCACCGTTCCGTAGTACAAATTAACAAATTATTTATTTTAAGTTTGAAATTAGTGAAAAAGATTTAAAAATTCGTACAAAACTCATTTCATTTCACTGCAATTGATTTTAGTTTTTGGGAAATAAAAACTTGTATGAAAATTTATGTTCCTACCATATTATCTTCTTGATCCATGTCTTACCAAGCCCAATAACGTCGCAATAAAAGACATCAACTGAAGCAAAATTTATAATGGTGTTTTATGGGTCCAAACTGAAAAGTTTCGCACCACGCCTTGAACACAGCTTTAAAGAACAAACGTATTCACTAATCTTGTAGATTTAAGAAATATAAAGATTTCAATAAAATATTTTTTAGTAATCTTAAAATATTTTGATGACATCTGAAAATAGATGATTAATGTTATTTATTTAAAGATCCGAGCTTGTTAACAATTCTATTCGGATGCCGCAGCCACAATTAATAACCTTTTTATGTTCTAAATAACAAATTAAATTATATCTCGACCGCCACTAGACCCTCGAATGTAAATTATTAGAACCATTTGTAGTACGATTTGTAATTTAATCAACATTATTTGTCACCACAACACAACTATTAAATTAATTATAACATTACTAAATTAGTAATTTCATAATAACGAAAACTTAAATTGGAAGTGATTTTAAATATTATTTAGAAATGTTATTAGTGACTTCTTAACATTTTAATCCTCCTTGAAAATTTAAATGAAACAATAGTCATTATATTTAATGGTTCTCGCACCCTGTTAATTCTTGTTTTATAACAGATATTAAGAGACAATCAACACAACCAAGGATGCCTTAACAAGATTACATTCTTACTACTATAAGTTAATTTCCAACGACAGTTATGAATGAATGTGATAATGTAAGAATCGAAGGGAAACTTTTGAAAATGATTTTAACATTCGTCTTATTCCTATTTGTTTCAACTAACGATCCATTCAAAATGTAACAAAAAAATTAATTTAGTATACATATGATGTACGTTGAGTAAAAGCACATCGACTAAAAGGGTATCCTAATTTCAAAACGAAATGCCTGTTTTAGGGTTGAAGTAGCAAGTCTACTGTAAACACTTTTTAATAATACTAATGACCCTCTTTTGTAATTTTAAGTAACCTCAAGGGCAAAGAACTACCGACCGTGTTTATGCCGTTAATTAACTAAAGCCTGAAGACCTAACCAACATTAGCTAGTTATTTCTTTATTCCATTCAACTTTTTCAAAAGGAAGTTGTTAAAAAATAAAAAAAATTTTGAAGTTTAAAAAAACACTAATAAATCAATTTTTGTTTAAAGATTATTAATGATTGGATCAGTTTTTTTTGTCAATTTGTCACGTGGATTTTATCAGTTTCGAAATTAACCCAGATAAATAGGTGCACCGCTGTCGTTGGTGAAGCTGCCGCCACCACCTACAAACCCCATCAGGAGGCGGTGTTGAATTGAATGCGCCTGACACTGAACAGGTGGTAGGTATAAAATGTGGTGTCGCCACCGAGGACTTGTCTTCGTGTGCGTTTCACCATCGAGCACTACCATTTGAAGATCTTTTCAATACACAACTTATTTAAGTCGGATTATCCGGAGAATATATTGTTACAAGTAAGTTGCACGTTTGATTAACATTTATTGTGAGAAATAATAAGAAAAAAGAATAATAATGAGTAATTATTTTCAAAAATTTTTTTGTAAGAAAAAGCTTTAAGAAAAAATATCTATTGTGCTGCAGAAACTATTATATGAAATATCTTTGTTAAAATCAAAGCTCAATTCAATTTGTGCTTTAATAGGGAAAAAGATAAATAGAAATGGATATTAAAATTAAAAATAATAATATTAATTTAAAAACTTCATAAAAAACTAAGAAGCACTTTGACCAGAAAAACTTCTTTTGTCTTTTGAAGATGGTTTGTTACAGAAATCGGTCAAAATATAGTATCATAAAGTATTCATCATAACGCTTTATAGTAATTATTTTGTATATTAAGTACCAAATGCTTTTTCACAAAAAAATAGAAATAGCTACTATAACTAATAATTTATAACATTTGTAAAATGAACAACGACAAACGATGAAATATTTAATTTTAAAACAGTGAGGTAATTTTAAAATACTCCCGGATAAAGTATCACTTCCAATTACGCGATTGGATTGAAATTTTATATTCGACCGTTTTAATATAATCATTTATCTCTGTATTTAACATAATATATAATTAAACTATTTATACAGGGTGTATCTGAATGACTGCAACAAACTTCAAGGGGTGATTCTATAGTGAATTTTAAGTGTACTTTGATATATGAACTATGGGCGACTTCGGCTCCCTTAAGGAGCTACACCCCTCCAAAAATGGCGGAAAATTTTGGTTTAATTTCTTTTTCTCAAAAACCATAAACGCTAGGAAAATGAAATTTGAATGAAATTTGGAAAAATTTCAGTTAGATAGATAAAACTATTCTAAAACTTTTTTGTCTCTCTGATGTTCTTCGAAAATTTAATAATTTCTGAGAAAAAAAATAATTAAGCAAACACTAACTGTTAAGCTGTAGGGTTGTTAATCGAAAGTTGGAATGAATTTTAAATGAAAAAATCTTAGTAGGCTTTGCAATCTTTGTCAGAAATATTTTTGACGTTTAAATGTCAGTGGTTTTCGTACGATTATTATTGTTTTATTTAAAATTTTGAAACGTCGAGTGAACGAGCGTAAATGCGATAGAACTTTATTTAAAAATTAATTTGAAAAACAATAATAATAATAAGAAAAACACTGACATTTAAACGTCAAAAATATTTCTGACAAAGATTACAAAGCCTACTAAGACTTTTTCATTAAAAATTCATTCCAACTTTTGATCGACAACCCCGTTGTTTAACGTGCAGTGTTTGCTTTATTATTTTCTTTCTCAAAAATTAGTCGTTTTTGGAAAAATTTTAAAGAGACAAAAAAGTTTTAGGATACTTTCATCTACCTAGATAAATTTTTTTTAATGTATTTATCATCTGCATACAAAAAATATTAGCAAAAATGTAAAGGGGGTGGTTACGTTTAGTACTTTAGAGGGGTAGGTTGAAAGTACAAATAGGGTCAAAACATGCCCTATTATGAGTTAAACATGTTCCCTGTATATCTACCTATAGATGATCTCTATAGGTCGTAGCTAGAGATTTAATTACAAACCTTTCATTATGAAGGCAACAGTACAATTTTTCTTCTATACATATTCTTATCAATTACCTTCATTACAAACTATATCGAGCGGTTCAATGAATCAACAGAATATAATTCCCAACAAACTCATACTTAATTAAGACTGGTTTTAAATACAAATGAACAATTCTCAAAACCGACGTTTTTTGCAACTAAATCCATTCATTGTAACCAAAAGTATAATCGATTAAAAAAAGCGGTGTTATTAACGTTATTATCACAATTGATAGGTAATTCGGGTCTGATGAGCTGGCCAATTTCATTGGTTTAATTGCCTGATTTTAACATTCATCGATTTTTTTCTTATGTAAGAGATTAAAAAATATTGCATTAACACTATAGATCATCTTAAACAGAAATTTCGAGATGTCTGACTTCTTATAATTAGTAAAATTTAAAAAATAACAAATTAAAAAGTGAAGAGACGTTTTAAGCATTGCACAGCGGTAGGCACTTATGTAGGTCCAAGTGAACTTATTGAAAAAAAAATCATTTTGACTGGTCTCAATGAACTTTTGTTGGAGCTACAAATATTTTTGTCTTGCCCATTTATTTCTCCATTCGTTGAAGGCCGATTATGATTATCACCTCAAATACATCTTATTAAGACCTTTACTTCTTCAATTTGTTAATTCATGTCAGTGCTTAGACTGACAGTTTCGAAACATTAGGGCACGTTCTACTTTTATATTTAGCTTGTTATACTTTATTTTATGAGTCTCATATACAGGGTCATTCACGACGACCGTCCATTAGAACTTTACAGGATTCTGGCCAACAGAAAAATTTGAAAATTCAGATTTAAGTATTATTAATTGCGTTCTCTTCGACTAAAATATTTTCAGATTTCTAGCACTTCCGGTTATACCGGAAGTCGCCACCTACCTTATTTTTTTAAATGGAACACCTATATATTTTTACATATTTGGATTTTTCTGTTTTCAAGGTTTAGGAATAACTTTACTTTTTGCAATTTGATTCGGCCGTTCTCGAGTTATTCGAATTTTTCTAGAAAAATCTGCTCCAGCAGACATTTGTTAAAAAAATCAGAGAACACTTGATGTGCCATGAATACCTAGTGTATAACCATATGAAGTGGCCTTTTGAAAATTTGCAGACTTCTGATGTTTCATGCCAGGTTTTTAGTAAAATATTTTCAGGTTCCGGGTACTTGCGGTTACACCGGAAGAGGTGACAATTTTCATATTTCAAATGGAACACCCTGTATTTCATTACATTTTTGAAATTTTTGTTCAATTTTAGGCCATTTGTATGTTGCAGCCGACACGTATACGCAATTATTTGGTTGCCCTCTCCATAAATTATTATCAAATTCAAATAATCCTCATTACTAAATTCCAAATGTGGCATTTCTTGAGAACAGATCACTACAAAAAGTAACCTAGTCATCACACCAACAGAAATAAACCATAGCTTTAGCAAATGTCAAACTGTTTACTCTTTCCTTACTGATCCTCTGATAATACATAACCACAACGACATTCCACAACACAAAATTTTTTTCCGGCGGTCAAACTAGATGATTTATAAATTATAAAAAGTAACGTTGTAGTTGACATTTTTGATTGAAAAATGTAATCAAACTCAGGTGTTCCATTTGAAATATGAAAATTGTCACCTCTTCCGGTGTAACCACAAGTACCCGGAACCTGAAAATACTTTAGTTAAAAAGCTGGTATCAAACATCACAAGTCTACAAATTTTCATACTTCCACTTCATTCGGTTATTCACTAAGTCGCACTAGGTTAAATATCGATATGTGTGTGCATTTTTCAAAAAACCCTAATTATCTTCCAAACTATAAATGTTAGGTATAGGACATATCGGATATAAAAGATGTAAAAAGAGACACCGAAGACGACTAAGTAATAAAATATGGAGGGTGCCATTTAAAAAAATGAAGTTATGGTACTTCCAAGTTTCGAAAAAGTAACGTGCCATAGTAAAGTGACCAAACGTTCTAGACAGCCATACTCGGCACCAAAACATACTCCATCATGTTGCTTAACTATGTTCTGAATCCTAAATTGATATCCCAAAAATCGAGTGTTCTCTGATTTTTTGAACAAATGTCTGCTGGAGCAGATTTTTCTAGAAAAATTCGAATAACTCGAGAACGGAAGAATCAAATTCCAAAAAGTAAAGTCATTCATAAACCTTGAAAACAGACAAATCCAAATATGTACAAATATACAGGATGTTCCATTTAAAAAAATAAAGTAGGTGGCGACTTCCGGTATAACCGTAAGTGTTAGATATCTGAAAATATTTTAGTCGAAGAGAACGCAATTGATAATACTTAAATCTGAATTTTCAAATTTTAATTTTGGCCAGAACCCTGTAAAGTTCTAATGGACGGTCGTCGTGGATGACCCTGTATAAGTTCAATAATCTTTTTAATATTAAAATGTTATAAAACTGTTTGCAAAGTTACTGAGTGGGTGCCCTATACTATATGATCCTATTTATTGTTAGTAGAAAACTATTGACGCTAATTATTGGTTACATGTCCCCAAAAAACTAGAAATTTTAAGCCCTTCAATACCAATTATGTGAGTAAAATAAAACAATGCTACAAGTTAAAGCGCTAATCGCTAATCTCGACCGCTTTATTTTTTTGCAAACGAATTAGTTCTAAAACACAAAACTTGCGTGTGTTATTGACAATGTGTAAATTCGGTCATTGTCCGATTTTTTAACCACAATGAAAAATACATTCTGAGTCGTTTTATTCGGCCAATGAGAACAAAACCATAAAAATATATTTTTAATTCTCCACAATAATACTCAATGCATTCACTACATAACAGATTTAGTATTTTATTCTCTTCTGAATGCCTAAAGCGTTGATGTATAAACAAAATAAAAAAAAAACATGATGGAAAAAGCTTAATTTGAAACAAGTTCTGGTTTATTTATCTTATTAAAAGTTTTTTTTGAAAATGATAAAATTTTATAAATTAGCTAATAACATACAACACAGCATTCATAATTTTTATCACTGAGATACTAATAACAATTAATCCTTACTCTACACGTTTGTGTATTCAACCGTATTGACCATAATACGCAATTCCTCAGACATCAAACGTTTGATTGATTTAAATCGTAATCATGACGTAAATGAAATACATAATATTATAATATTAATACCCAATTTAAACCGTCAGATTTTATTTTGAATAATTGGTACTGAAGTTAAATAACAATCACAATATAATACCTATTTTAAGCGTCCAATTATATTAGAATTAGTATTATTACATCCGACTTAATCGGAATTAAACGCGAACAAGATAAGAAGAAATAACATCACGTTTTATTACACATCCAAAACGTTCGAAACCGAAGCAAAATAATATGATTCC